TGTATGTATGTATTTATGTATATGCAGTAGATATATATGTATATATATATAGACCAATTTGAACAATGTTATAGAATACTAAGGTGAGCAGCACTGAACGACAAAAAATAATTATACATTTTAACTTCAAACAGAATAGAGCTAAATGGGGGCTCGTTGTGAATACAACGTCATTTAAATGAGACTGATGCAATGACATGTGTATATATTCAGATTCACAACGATATACTGTGGCATACATGTTCTAATAAACTGCCAAAGTTCAGAGTCAGATATTATCGTATAACACACCAAACAACAAAATAAGACAGTAACATCCTATTTTAGGGCAATAGGCCTATGGTTTATATCAGACCTGCATTGGAAGCAATCGATAAATATATCGATTTTCACAGAATTATCACTATGATGCTATCACAAGGCATAATCTATAAGAAACGAGCATCATTAGGCTTATTTATCACAAATCGTTATATTTTTTCTACAAGGTATAAAAAAAGGAAAAGCGATCAGTAGAAGATACAGTACTGTAATCAGATTAAGAAGGACACTTAAAGATCAACAAAATAACTATTATGCTCAAAAAAAAAAAAAATAAAGTGGAAATAAAAAGTGAAAAATGGCGAAGATGGAATCATGGTTGGAAGAAAAAGATGAATATAAAAAAGAAGATGAAGAAGAAGAAAACGAAGATGGAAAAATGAAAAAGAATAAATAATAATAATAATAATAATAATAATAATAATAATAATAATAATAATAATAATAATAATAATAATGGATTTAAATAGCGCAAATAAACGAGGTCGCTATGCGCTCGGCTCGTGAGATGTTGCACTTTTCAATAAATTTCTCCTCCCCTGAGGGTCACTTTATGTCCTCTGCAGCCAGTTGTCCACGACAGGGACCGAGTGAACCAGTACACCGGGGCAACACACCTACTCATCTCGAAAGATGTACTGGGTTTTTTTAAGTGCATATGAGCATTTGTGTACACTGGGCCTACGGTTTATAGTCCTTATCCAATGAAGACTTGTTCCACCACCAGAACTATAGGAGCTAGCCGGCCGCGAACCTGTGCCGATATTGTTGGCTATGATCACGGTGCCCTTGCCTTAACCGCTCGGCCATTTGAAAAATAAGAAAAAACAGATGAAAGCAGAATTTACTACATCACTACATAGGCCTAAGTGTGTACACCAGTTGCAGATGCAAATTTAGGGGGCCCTCGCTGGGCCACTATTTCGAATTCCTGGATCCGCCACCGTGTACCTAAAGTACCGTACTGGTATGTTTAAGCCTAGACCTACTCACCATTCAAATACCGTATCTTCTAAGTCAACTTTGTAAATTAAAAGCATCTCAACTTCTACTACGCTATACATGGACCCGTAACATGACCACCAGTAGTGTATCCCCTACCGCTAATATGCTTATCCGTATCTGGTAAATTAGCATAGTTCAAAAGAATTATAGGCCTATATACATCAATTTTGCAGATTCAGTCGTTCACAAAGTAATGGATCTCCACAGGCTTCGAAATGCAATCAGTGTATAGTAAAGTAAAACAAATCTAAAAACAAATGGTTAAATACCTTTATATGCCCATACATTAACAGACGTGGTTTACCCTATAAACGGTCAATTCATATCTACCTGGTATATCACCATAATGTTTGCTTAACTAGGCATCTTTTTACGTCCCTTCAAATTGACCAACGTAGCCTATTGTCCTATGAGGAGATAAACGCCTTTGTTGTGAAAACATGGGCTATTCATCAAAAGGTTGATTACATTGATTTGTTTGAATGTCAAAACACAAGATGCCTACAAGGTAGAACACTTTCACCCTGGACAACACAAACTTGAACTCAATCGAGGTCAATGAAGGTCATAGACCTCGATGATATTTACATTAAAACAATTTACGGATATTAAGTTCATTAACACCTAGTCTATTTATTTCAATATTAACATGTCCCCACTCCGATTCATAAGTCAAACTACATTTTGTATTCATTCCTATTTTTCATAGGCCTATTTTATTTTATTTCATTTCACTTCTTTTCCAGAGGATGATAACCGCGTGAAAAATGACAATATATTTTTGTTTAACATATACATTAGGCCTAATTTAGATGTAAACGCAAGCAACTGTGTTTGCACCATTCACCCGAAATAAGACACCAGG